ACTTTATCTACATACACTTATAAATATACTATTTAGGTACCTATGTAATCCATGTATATCGATGTACATAAATGCTGATGCAATGGTATAAGTTAATTTTATGTAAGCTGTTTTAAAATTATTTTCTTGTATCTGATCAATTCAATTTAATCATGATTAATTATGCATTGTTTTCCCTTTCTAACCGTATGACATAATTTCAATTATTTATGCATTAATATTTTATTATATGAGATCAAAAATATTAGGAAAATCTTGTTAATTATTCTTTAAATGTAATAGACTATGAATTTGTGCACCTATTTCATTTTGGCTATAGAATCTATATATAGAATTGTACACAAATCGTATTATCCATAACAATTATTTCAKAATTTTATACTTYAAAATTATTTGGCTATTTTAAGTTAAATCAAAGTCATTACTAAATYATAGCCTACAGATATTTTCATAGTTGAACATKTTTATAGGTTACAATGACAAATGTGATGACCTTGTTCTTACTTATAGTAATAACTTATATAAAAATTAATTCAATAATATTTTACCAGCAGTATTAATATTTCATAATAATTATTTAATTAAAATTGTTTACAATTTTAAAGCTTTTTTAGGTATAATGGATACCTAGTACTTACACGTTATTAGTAAATTTTTGTAAGTGTTATTAATTATTATATCATATACTCCTCAAACCATCAATGGTTTTAAGCACTAGTAAATAAATAAACTCTATAATTTTTTAACTTATAGTTAGGTACCTATCAAGTACTATATTCTATAGTTTTGATTACATTTATTTTCCATCTCAAATTCTGTGTAAAATATCTTATGGAAAATAATAGGTAACTAAGATTTTATTTCTTAACTTGACTGTTTAACTGGAAAATTAAATTATATTTAAAAAAAAGCTATGTGAGTCAATGTAGGCCATCAAAACTAAAATGTACTTAATTAATTTATAAATAAATATTAAATACACATAATATGCATTTCTAAGCTGTAATAGTTTTTAGTAGCTATAAAAGCTTTACAAAAAAAATTTCAAAGTTTTTAACTTAACAAATTACAATCTGTTAATTGTTCTTACGCCTTGAACTAAGAGCCATATATCAAGTAACGCATACACATTTAGGAATTTCTTAAAAATTATTTCATAATCTTTGTCTATTCTTTGTTTTTTCCTATCTGAAAAGTAATTTATTCGTCAAAAGTCCTTATTAAATACAAATGTTATATGGTATATATGATAATATA